ACCTGACCTCACAGTCTCTCCCTCAGCTTCCTTACATACTAGAAATAATAATTATAATTCAATCCCATTAATGCACAATGGACAAGGTATCCAATAGGAATATGAGACCCTGAGTTGGAATTCCAAGTTATCACTGGCAATGTAGACAAGATTTCCACTTAAGCCATCTTGTCCACCTTCCCTTCCACCCCGCCGTGCTCAGCAGTCACAATGACACAGTCATAAAAACATGGACTTTGGGGATATATAGACCTGGAGGGGAACCCCAGCTCCATCACTTTATAAACTCTGTGACCTTGGAAAAGTCACTTAACCTTTTTGAACCTCAGTTTCTTCATCTGAAAAATGGGGATAATATTTTCTACCTCAAGAGTTATCATGAAGGTTTAATGGAGATGCATTTAAGCGTTTATCATTGTGCCTGGAATGTAGCAACCATAAATTGTAGAAGTTGTCATTGTTACTATTGTTGTTATTATTTATTAGGGGTTGAAGGAATTCCAGTTCAGTGGCTCATGTGGCTTGGGGTTAGGTTAGCCTGGTCGTCCTATTCTTATACCTACTTCACTTGGCTTTCCACAAGTTCCTGACAGCCAAACTCCATTAACTTCCTCATTTGCTGCTCAGTCGTTACCATCTCTCAGCCTCAGTTCCCACATCTTTATAACAAGGATGCTGAGTTCTGCCTTGCTTACCTCTCAGAAAAGTTGTCAGGTTAAAAACTTGTTCTCATTATTCACGTGAAAATGTCACGTAAGCTATAATGTGGTGCGCAAGTGGGAGGTATTATTATTATTGTTGGTATTTCTCAGGAGGCTCCACATGGCCCACACTGAAGAACAATAAGCCACTTCAGTATTTTTCAAACTGGGGTCTACTGGTCCCTGTATGAATTCTCAGAGGTCTGCTAGTTCTCTACAAGAATTTTAAAATGCTGTGCTTTTATTTCAATGATACTCTAATCATCAATATTAATAATCTGGTCATTTGCCTCATGATTTGGGTACTTGTATTTGCAATCACACTGGCAAAAAGAGTTTAATTGTTAATGCACTGTTTCCAAACTGGCTCTACAGACATATTACAGGGGTCCAGAGGTCGTCGTTTTTAGAAATGCTAGTCTTTTCTAAGTTTTGCTGGTGGGTCCCAACAAAAGGGCTCTAATCCTGGGGGCTCTGAATTGCAGACATCTGCTTTGACCACAGTCTCGAAGCAGTGAGTGGACCTAGAGTCAGTGCTGAGGTTTGGAAGAGCACTGACAGTCAGACTGGATGGCGTGGCCCTCCAGCAGCCTCCAGGGCCCAGGCATATTAATAAGAAATCATGGCATCGTTCTCTAACTCTGCATAGTTCAAGTTCACTTTATGGACATACCAATCCAAAAAAACCCAAACCAGTTGCTGTCAAGTTGATTCCAACTCATGGCAACCCCATGTGTTTCAGAGTAGAACTATTCCATAGAGTTTTCAAGGTTGTGACTTTTCAGAAGCAGATGGCCAGGCCTGTCTTCCGAGGTGCCTAAGGATGGGTTTGAACTATCAGCCTTCTGGTTAAGTGCTTAACCGTTTGTGCTACCCAGGGACTCCTGTGAACATACCAATGCTATGAAAACATAAATACATATCTATCCTATCAAATACGTATGACTCAAATACATTTATAAGCATATATATGTGTGTTTGTATATATATGCATATATATACGTATGTATATATGTGCATATGTATTTATATGCATATATACACATACCTATATATGTGTGTGTATATATATATATGTATATACATACCCACACATGCACAGTGTATGAATATGTACAGACAGGTGGATTTAGTATATGAAGTAAGAATTCCCCATCCAAGTAGAGCACATTTGGCCTTTCAAGGCATGGTGGCATTTGCAACATATTTGATCTTCCTCAATGATGCTGTGAGTGGATACAGCAGGAACTGCTCTTCGCAATTGATAGATGAGGAAACTGAGAGCTAGAGAGTTGCCCAAGACCACAAAGTAGCTAATAGCAGTGTCTGGAGAAAAGCAGGGCTTTTTTTTTTTTTCACTTCCTCTTCACAGTCTGTCCCATAGTTCTCCTTCCCTCCTTTCTCCCAGCATCCCTCCAAAGCAATCCTGCTAGAATAATGCTGCTGGCTGCTTTGAAGCTTGTGCATTCTGACAGTGACCGACAGAATTATGTAATAGAAGTGTAGCCCTCTCCTTTTACTAGAACTTCAGAGGCTTCGTGGTCTCTAACTCTATAATTACACCCTAATCACAAACACTCTGAAGGAGGGGTCAGTTCCATGCAGCAGCAGGCTAATAATGTGGTGGAATTTCTAAAAATTATCATCTTATAAATTGCATTATTCCTCTGAAGGAGGAAGAAACGCACACACCACATACTCAACTATGTTTCGAACTGAATTAATTAGTAATTTGAAGCCTAATTATCAACTAATCTATTGGAACATGCAAGTCTTTTGTATTTGGATGGTATATGCAATTTGCATCCTATTAGCTGGCAGTTGTAAGGATTTGAGAGCTCATTAGGCCAGAAGAAGAAAAATGCCCATCAGTAGGATACAGAAACCCAAGGGGCTGACTTGGTGATGCTGTGACTGAGGGGTGCCTGGGCAACAGATGGGGATGGGCCATGTAATTACCTAGGGCCATTCAGTGGCCTTGAGGGCAATGATGTGTAATTTCTATCCTCCCCTGAGAAGTAATTATACGTGTCCCCACCCTGGGTCTGTGCATTCTCTAGCAGCAGGATGCTCACAAGGTCTGCATTGAGAGATATTCTCCAGTAGTGGAAAAGGCATTGGATGCTGCCAATAACCGTGCATAGTGCTAGGCCTAGCCCTATTGTGCACTTGCTGTGTGACCCTGGATGTTTCTGTTTCCCTACAAGCAAGTGAGATTTAGCACTAAAGATCTGGGTTCTGGGGATGTTAGCGGCTCTCCTCACTGTACAGTAAAAAAATCCATTTTTGAAATTTTTTTTTTTTTTTTTGGGCAAGATCCTTTGTAAAGTCTCTGGACAGCTACCACCATTTAAAATGCAAATACCTCTGAGCCATTAACATCTGAGTCTAAATTCTATCATCAAGAGTTGCCATGGAGTCAACTCCGACTCATGGCGACCTCATGTGTGTCAGAGTAGAGCTGTGCTCCACACGGCTTTCAATGGCAAATTTTTTCAGAAGTAGATCACCAGGCCTTTCTTTTGAGGTGCTTCTGGATTAACTTGAACCACCAACCTTTTGGTTACCAATTGAGTGCATTAACTGTTTGATCACCTATGGACTCTGTGTCTAAATTAATCTTTCTCAATAAGCATTCCTTGTTACCAGTCCTGACCCTGAAATATTAGACGAGCCAAGGTAAGGAAGTTTGAAAAGGAAAGTAGGGTAAGGCAGGGATCTGTCTAGGACTGCACACCAGGCCCGAAAGAAGGATGGAACTTAAGGAAAAGGCAAGATGTTTTGATCCCATGTTTATATCCTGTTCTTTTGACACTTATATGGCCCTTACATGTGCATAGCAGCATTATTTATGAAAGTAAAAAAGGGAAACAACCCAAATATCCATCAATGATGAATGGATAAACAATGTAGTATATCCAAGCAATGGAGTATTATTTGGCAATAAAAAAGAATGAAGTACTGATACATGTTACAACGTGGATGAATCTTGAAAGCACTGCACCACATGAAAGAAGCCAGTCACAAAGGACCATATGTTGTATGATTCCATTTACAGAAATGTGCAGAATAATAGGCAAATCCATAGAGGCAGAAAGCAGGTAGACAGTTGCCTAGGTCTCGGGGAGATGAGGAGGAATGGGGATTGACTGATAATAGGTACAGGGTTTCTTTTGGGGATGATGAAAAAGTTTTGAAATTAGATTGTGGTGATGGTTTCACAATTGTGCAAATATATCAAAAACCAATGAATTGCACACTTTAAATGGGTGAATTGTTTGGTATGTGAATTACATCTCAATAGAGCTCTTTCCAAAAATGGCTGTAAAGACAAGATAAAATTGCATTTGACTTTGGAAAAGAATTGATGGAAGAATCAAACTTCATGATAAAATAGGTAGACATGCAGAACATGACTCAGAGAAAATAGACTTGGTAGAAATAATGGCCCCAAAGAGAACTCATAATGGCACACATTACTAGGTAAAATTTGTTATGTACAAAAAATGATTTGATAAATCAGCTCTTTGTAACTTGGAAAATAACTGCACTGATTAAAAGAACTCTAGTACATTAAAATGAAAACACATTTTTTAAAAAAGACAAACTTACTTATGCCATATAGAAAAGTGAATACAAACTAAATTGGCATAATATTGTTCGAGCTGGAAAAATTGTTTCTGGTTGTTTTGATTTAAATGTTTGTATTTATAAACAAAAAACTATTATAGGTCTTTGGGTGGCACAAATGGTTAAATGCTCAACTACTGGCCAAAAGGTTGGTGGTTCGAAGCCACTCTGAGGCACCTTGGAAGACAGGCCCAGTGATCTGCTTTTAAAAGGTCACAGCCTTAAAAACTCTGTGGAGCACAGTTCTACTCTGCTCACGTGGGGTCACCATGAGTAGGAATCTACTTGAGGGCAACTAATATCAACAACTACAAAACTATCACTGGGGTCAAAATAGAGGGTCAAAAGTGGTGAAGTCCAAACATGTATGCATTCAAATATGTGGTGATTTTGTCCATATTGCAAAGCTAACTGAAACTGGAGTTACGACGACTAAGGAAGCCCTGCCCACCAGCATGCTCGATTCCATGGAAGGTTAGAAGCTTATCAGCAGTGTGCTGTGGCTTGACAAGTGGGGATGTGGTGGGGCAGAAAGGTAAACTGCCAGGGCTGAAGGTAGCCCTGTTCTGCCCACCATATAGTACACCCCAGCCAGGGAACACAGAAGAAAGCTACAGAGGCCCAAACACAGAAAGGTCCTGAGCTAAGAGCCTGTGGCGCTCTACTCACCAGATTTGCAAGGATGTAGTGGTAGCCGATGCCGTTCTTCTCTAGCTTTATAATCTACAAAACACAAAGGGAGGGGATTCATCAATAATAATAACAAAGATACAACAACAGCAATTATAGTAGCTAAAAAAAACCCAAACCTGTTGCCATAGAGCCACTTCCAACTCATAGCAACTCTATAGAACAGAGTAGAACTGCCCCATGGGGTTTCCAAGGAGCTGCTGGTGGATTTGAACTGCTGACCTTTTGGTTAGCAACTGTAGCTCTTAACCACTGCACCACCAGGGCTCCATGATAGTAGCAAATAACATTAATCGAGAGCTCTGTCCTAAGTACTCAACCTACAATATCCCAACCATCCAATGATGTTAGTACCCTCACTTTACAGAAGAAGAACTGAGGCATAGATGTCAAATAAGCTCCTTAAGGTCTCTCTGCTATTAAGTGACAGTGCCAGGATTGAAATCAGGCTTGTCTGATTCCAGAGGTAGAGTGATCTTATCATAACCCAAGAACCCAACTGAAATGCTCACTGCACTCTTTTTTCTACAAAGCCTTCCCTGTACACAGAGATCTTCCCTTGATGGGAACCTTATACTGTGTTGTAGCCCCTGTCATTGTCAGGATAACTTCTGCCACTTGGCTGGACAGATGGGTGGATGGGTGGATGAATGGTCAGATGAGTAGGTGGCTGATTTCCACCCTGGTTCTTGACCTTCAACTCTTTGTATGAACCACATTCAAATGCAGTTCCATGTTCAGATGCAGTTTTGTGCCTTTTCCCCTAAGTTACTTAGGGGTACTCAGACATGAGCAGATCAATCAACACAGAAGCTGGAAGGGAATGTCAGAATCATCAAGTCCAACTGATCACTGTACAGATGGGAATTCAAGGTCCAAAGAGGGGAAATGACTTGTCCAGGGACATACAGCAGCCTTGGTAGCTGTGTCAGGACAGGAAACCTGACTCTTGTGAGCCTTTCCACATGATGCCTGACTATGGCTAATCATTGAGGACTAGGGTTCCCAAACACCCCTCCATCCTGAGTGCAGGCTGTACACCAGTCATGGGAGGTAGGAAAAATATTTGTGTTAAGAACTATCTAGAGGTTTGCTTGGTAGCCAGACACACCACCCAACAAGGGACAGCTGAGACCACAGGCTTACTCTCACCTGAGACTTCGGTTCTGTCCTTGCTCAGCCTGCAAGTAAACTTGATCTATTAACTTATTTTTTTATCATCAAATTGGGGCTGGTATACCCCGTTCACTGCCCCTCTCCCTGCACTGTTGCAAAGAGACAAAAAAATGTATGAGAAGCTCTTGGGCTTCTTCTCTAACTGAATAAATTTTCAAGGTTATTAAAATCCACATTCAGACATCTACTTAATTGGATGTATGTGCATAGCAGCTCACATATTTTTTATGTGGGGAATAATTAAGTGCAAGCGCAAACAATGAATGCTCTGAAACAATGGTAAGATTGTGAAATTCCAGACCACGGAGCTCAAACGCTATTGGGATGATAGTTTTATTAATAACTCTTCATTACTTTTTCATCTTCTTGTCAAATGGTTTGCTGCCCTTTCAACAATGAGATACCTTTATCAAAAACCTATTCAGCTTCTAATAAACACAAAACAAAAGCAAATAAAAGATATTTCAAATCCCACCACATCGAAGCAATGAAGAAATACAGTCCCTGAAGAATGAAATTACAGGTTGAAACAGGAAACAGTTGATAATTGACCAAAACATAATTCACCTATAAAAATCAGCTATTTCATATGGTTCAATCTAATATTAACCTTCTTACCCACCTACTCACACGCTACTCATTGACCTGCCTTCTCTCCTTTTCTACCTTCCTTTCACAAACATTTATTAAGAGCTTACTATATACCAAGAACTGTACTGGAGATACAGTAAAAGTGAAACAAGCATGGTGCTTGCCTTCTTGGAGTTTACAGTCTAGTGGGAGGAGACACAGATAGACAAATACACCCAAACCCACTGCCATCATGTCAAACAATCCTATGTTAATCTGTAACAACCCTATACCTATGAACCCAAAAACCCACTCTCATGAAGTCCATTGGACTCATAGCGACCCCACAGGGTTTCCAAGTCTATAAATCTCTATAGAAGCAGACTGTCACATCTTTCTCCTGCAGAGCCACTGGTGGTTTCGAATTGCTGACCTTGTGGTTAGCAGTTGATCGCTTTAACCACTGCACCACCAGGGCTCAGACAAATACACACAGGGTTAAAAAACAAGAAAGGTGTTATAAAGGTAACGTACGATTTTGCATAGAGTCCATCAGCTCACTGCTTCATCCCCTCAAAGCTCATTTCCTCTTGATTGTCTTTGTTTATGATCTTTGTTTGTTTATGATCTGGAATGTTCTCCCTCATTCTCCGATTACTCATATATCATTTATGGTGGAACTCTAATCCCAACAGGTTTCAGCTGAGCTTCCAGACTAAGACAGACTAGGAAGAAGGGCCTGGCAGTCTACTTCTGAAAAGAATTAGCCAGTAACAACCTTATGAATAACCACGATAGGGGTTAATATTTACAATACAAATTTTTGTAGGACACAATTCAATCCATAACCTGCAATATATGCCAAACACTATGCTATGTGATGGGTATAGAGCTGTGAAAGAGTGAGGCAAGGTCCCTGACCTCATTGAGCTGAGCTGCCGTTTTAGCAGTGAGCCAAATGATAAACATATGAACAGATAAACAGACAAGATTTCAGCAGGTGAGAAACACTATGAAGAAATAAAACAGGACGATGTGATGGATGGCCCCAAGGGGTCATGGTGTCTTTCATCTATAACTCATTCTGTACTTAATGACTGTATTATATAATTTAGTCTTATATATTGATATTAAAATAATCCCATTCCCCTGCTCAAAAACCTTCACTGACTTTCTACTGTTTACAGAATAAACCCCAAACTCTTTAGAATGCTTTCCAAGGTTATTCATAAGCGCGTGTCCATCCCCCTGCCATTATCTTCCAGTAGACATCCAGAGTCCTCCACCCATCCTACTAAGCCATACTATGAACTTTGAGCTCATATGCTTTCTGGGCCTCCCTATATGCCCTTTTCTCCAGCTTAAAGCTGTTATACAACCAATGAAATCCAGACCCATTTCACATCCCAGATCTTTCTTAGAACCTTCATTGACTGCCCATTCTTTCAGCATACTCAAAAAGTATTTACTAAATACCTACTCAGCACCAGCACTAGTTAAAGGCACTGCAGATAGGGCAGGGAAGAAAACAAAATGAAAAAAGCTGCCTCCATGGCACTTATATTCTAGCTGGAAAGTTGACAACAGAGGCAGACAAGGATAGTCTAACATGACACCAAGAGCATCAGACTGCAAGTCAAGAGATACGAGTTCTAGACTCAACACTGTCACTAACTAGTTGTCTGAACTCAAGGCAAATCATTCAACCAATTACCAATTTATGAAATCCCATCCATAAACTGTGAGGGTATGCAGTAAATCAAGTGATCTGTAAGATCCTCCCAGCTCTGTAGTCTTAACAGAATAGAAGAATCTAACAACTATT